AGTTAAATAGAAATTTTGATGTTTGTATTTAACAAATCCTACCTGTGATATCATGGGTGATAAAAGCAACAAGAATAAAAGAAAAAAAAAAAGAAAAAAGTGGAAAGAAAAAGAAAAGTTATAAATAATCAATAAGGGATAAAAAAAATTGTGCCAATTTTTTTAAACAAAGAATTTTTGATTTTTTTACAAAATTCTAACCAACTCTTGAATAAGATGAATGAAACAGATAATTTTCTGACTCCTCCTTCATGGCTTCCTTCAGTCAATAAAAGTTCACTAGTAGATTAGTAGACATGATGCTTGTGGAATCCTGCACAAAACTCAAGAGTTTGCTGCGGTTGTTTGCAAAAAAAAAAAAAAGAAAGGCTGCCTTAACTGGACTATTTTGGATTGTAAATCAATATCAGAGGATGTTTCCCTCTCCTTTGGCACAAATATCCACAGGGGTAGGGGCATTTTTTGATAGAATGCAATGTTTGACAAAAGAATATATGCAGGAATATTTTGGGGTCTGTAGTTATACATAGTAACAATTTGTACATGTGTAGCTTGGTATTAACTACTGATAAGTAAACAAGAATAGTTAACACACGCACACACACACACACACACATATATATATATATATATATATATATATATATATATATATATATATATATATATATATATGTAAGCAAATATATGGATATAGATCCGACAGTATGAAGAAAAAATATACAGAAAAAAAAACTGTTTATATAAAATAGTTCAATCGACTTTTTAATATTTTAATATTTGGAAATCATCTTGAATACGTTTTCACAACATCGCCCACGTGACGACGACGTGATCATATTTAAACGGAACGCTGATCTTATATAAAAATTTCAGTTATCTGTTTGGATTAGTTGTGCTCTTATGTCTATCGTCTTTTCATGTTGAATTTTATATGTTCTAATGTTAATTATGTTTAATGAAAATGTCCTGAAGATGGTCTAAAATAGACCAAATGTCCGGACGTTGACTTTATATTAACATTAATACAGCATAATTGCATATTAATTTTTTTGTTTTTTGTATATTTTTTTTCATATATATATATATATATATATATATATATATATATATATATATATATATATGCATTTATTATAAGTTGCAATATTTATATTTGAATAAAAGTATTTATTTATGAGTGTGTATGCAGTAATATAACCATGTGATGTATAGATTCATGTACACGTGCAGGCATGCACCACCACACATGCACATATATGCCTACGCAGCTATGCATTGATTGAAGACATATGTATACATATGCAAACATGAAAATATATGTGCATACGCACACACAGGCACACACCCACACATCTACAATGCTGCATAAAAGTAAAATAATATTAAAAATTATTGTCTCTTTTTTTCCAGATAATCAACAAATCTTAATTATAAAATATATATTTATTAAAAAAATTCAAAGAATTATGGCCACTTTCAAAAATGTTTAAGCTGAAATAAAAATATTAATTTAAATTTCAAAATTAAGATGGCAGATGGCAACAGAACATGTAATTCTGCATTAAAAAGAGGCAATGCTCAAGTTACTTTAACTGACAAGGAAGGAAATGTGTGAGATTGCATTTTAAAAGAGGCTGCTCTCTATATTCCTATATTTAAACTGAGTATTTTCTTAGTACAAACTGTTAGCAAAAAATGAGCTTCTGCAAAATTTAGTTGTAATTACTCAGAACTTGTCTACGTTAATGGTATAAAATTCAACATAAACACTTGCAATATTTAAATACTGAAATGACCTCCAAATAACATAGCCTAAAACAATGACATGGAAAACTTGGATTTAAACTATTATATAAAAATTTAAAAAATTGAAATATTAAAAGATTAAATGATATTAAAAAAAAAAGACAGCAATTGTAAATGCTTAGGTGTATGATGTTTGTATTTAATGTACCCCCACAGAGGGATGAAGGGGAAAAAGAATGAGCGGCACTCATCTATTTGATTGAGGTGTGTGTCAGTTCTAATCTGTGTAGGAATGATTGCAAAAACATTTCCTTCCCCTAATTTATAGACAAAACACACAGATGCATAATGGGATTTCTTCCTAGCCAATAAGATTAGACCATTTCTTGATTTCATCCAATTTAGTTCTGTTCTTTCTTGTCTTGAAGTCAGAATGTTGTGATTACTTGTCTTCATCCCCTTTAGTTTCTTAAATTTTTGCTTTATTACTGCTGCTTTGCCTTGAATATTTTGTTTTCTCAATATTATATTTTCCTTGTTCTTTTCTTTCTTCTCTCGTTGTTTATAGCAAACTTTGTTTGTTTGTTGAACATTTCTGCCAATTACATTTAACCATGACCAATTACTCTACAGTTTCTGTTTATTTTAGCTATAAAACCATGGAGAAGAAAGTTGTCTTTTCCTATCTGTAACCTGCTTTCAAAATCACTGCTCGTCTTTACACATGTAGAAAGTAAACGACTTTTATTGAATTTTCTGCTTTTTTTTTAAGGAGAAATTATAAGGAAGTGGGTCATTTGAGTTAATGGAAATCCTAGAAAGGAGAAACTAACTTTAATGATAGGCTCTGCTATGGCAGGCAAGCTGCTGTTGTGAATGAAGATAGCCTGGACAGGTTGATACTAACATTATAGCTGATAGAAGTATCATAATTACAAAACTCTGTAAAAGCCTTCAAGTGAGCAATGGTAGTGCCTGCAGTTTAGTACAATCTCTTGGCTACTTAGACTGTGCATAATGAATTTCAAGAAGGATAATAGAAGGAGCAGAAGGTTGTTTCTTCTGGAAGTAAGATGAGAGGAAAAGAAGATAAATGGAATGGTGACACCAAGACTCACCCAATAAATTTAAGGTAGTTTGCTCTGTAAGGGAAATGATAGCCACTGTATTCTGTGACTAGTAAAATCATATTTTTGCCCACTTTTTCTCCTATGTATCATGTCATTTCAGGACATTGGAGGTCATAGCTCTCTACAATTTCTTGTCGTTTGTAACTCTTAGTAAATTTTGTCTTTTTGTTATTTCCCCTAATCTCTGGTCTGCCATCCATTTACTCAAGTTCACTAGGCATATTGTTTTCCTCTATACCTCTTGGCTTTAATCTGTCCTGTGAGTACCAAATTTTCCAAGCCCTCTTTCTTCATTATGAACCCTAGAAATTTCAGATGCCTATTTCTGATGTTAAGTATAAATGTCCTTTTTGTTTTAATTTTCTCTAAAATGTTGTTGCTCACATGTTTGGTCCATGGTATTTTCAGCATCTGTCTGTAGAAGCACATTTATGTTTCTTCAAGTCTTGTTTTCATTTGTGAGGACTGATATTACATAGGCAATGCATAAGCACATGTTCGAACTCCAAGTAAGGCTTCTTTGAGCAAGGCCAGATTTGAAGATGAGTGATGTGTTTTTGTAAAATGATGACATAAAGCCTAATGACAGCTTAAAGATCAAACAAGTAATCAGTATATATGGCTGGACAACTATTCTGACATGGTGCCCTCAGGTTATGTTCTGGGGTGAGGCATGAGGAGGCACTCAGTTCCCTAACGATGATGAAAATTAAACTGTCATCTCACACATAGTAACAAAGAAGGAGGTGTATATGGCGTCATTCAAATTTCAAATACCTGGATTGACAAAGCAGGACACTAAATTTAGAGTCTTGAAACTTTTCTCTTCATTTTCATAGGCTTTTTTTAAAAAATATTACTACACACACACACATATATATGTATATATATATATAGTATTTTTCTAAGGTAATGGATTTTATCAATCAGACAGATTTTTATCACTTTAAATGTTATTTTTAAACTGTTACAAATAAAACAATGTATAGCACTTCATTTTTGAAATTCAGATAAACTTCTCAGCATTGGCTGAAAATTACAAATAGTCACAGATCTTGAACAAAATTTGAAATTCCTCCATAAAAATCGAAAAGAGAAAATTGAAAAAATAAATATGTGAAGGTAATGTCAATCGACATCTACAGTTCCCTTGATCTATCCGATACCCTTCTCCTCATCCTTTCTTCTATCATTCCTATCTGATCTTCTGTAACCCCTTGTGTCCTAGTGGCTTCTCGCCTTGTTTGGGGTGAAACACTTAAAAAAAAAAAATCTGAAAAATAAAACTAGTTCAAGCAAAAAATGCTATAAATCCAGTCATATATTATATATATATACACACACACATACATAAGTCTCTGTGTGTGTATATATATATATATATATATATATATATATATATATATATATATATATATATAAATATATATATATACCAAAAATGACAATGTTAATGTTAACATTTATTTTCCTATTTTTAAGGACGGGCTGCAAATGTAAATTATCTCTGATTAGATAAAAAGAAATATTTTTTGCTCTTCCAATTTCAATTTGTTTAGCATCTCTTTAGAAATAAAATCAAAATGGTTCTCTTGTGATATTTCTTTAAAATAACAAATAACCAACATAATTAGTTTCTTTGTATCTGTTTTACTGGAAGCAGAAGAAAATTATCCTGAAAATTGAATCTGTTTATGACTAGTTCATGTAAGTTCATGTAGATATATGTTACTTACTTGAAAATCACTTATGCAATGATTTTATGACTCTTTCTCTGCTTGCAATGAATAAAATAACATTATGATGGAAGGAAACAGAATATAATGAGATGTCCTCACACATGAGGCATGAAATTGAGAATGCATTTACACACATACAAACACAGATATATATATATTATACAGATATCTATCCATCTCCCTCTCTCTCTCTATATATATATATATATATATATATATATATATATATATATATAGAGAGAGAGAGAGAGATAGATAGAGATAGATAGATAGATAGATAGATAGATATCTGTATAATATATATGGTGTTTCAACATTATATATATATATATATATATATATATATATATATATATATATATATATATATATATATATAATGTTGAAACACCAGTCCCCATATGATCACTAAAGTTAAGCAATATTGAGCCTGGTTAGTACTGAGATGGGTGACCACTTGAAAATCGAAGGTGTTGTAAGCTTGGATGTGTAGGTGGATAATGTTTTCCTTCTCACACATGAAGCATACATGCACTCACACATTCCTGTACATTCACCAAAATTAATCAATGGATGTGTGGGTGGTGTAATGGATAATGGCACGGAATTGTTAATTGGGGAGCTAAGTTTCAATTCCAGTCAGGTTTGTTATATTCACTTGTACACAAATAAACTTGGGAAAGGCATAAATCCACTTCATCTCCCCCAAACTATGGGTTAATTAGTAAGACTTGTAACATTAAAACTATTTTTATCTCCCCATAAAAATATAAAATTGGATACAAAATATTTAGATTTTGGCATTAAATAACCCATAGAGGTTGATTAACAAAAAAAAACTAACAAATCAATAGACATACATGTGAAAGTACACATATGTATGTGTATATATGTGTGTGTGCAAGTAAGGTTATATTAATGTTTATGAATTCTTTTATTTTCTGTGTGGCATGTCAATTCAGTTCTTGGGTGATCATGGCTCTCCTTTCTTTCCTGTGTAATTTTATGTGTCCTTTTTTGTTTTTATTTCTTCGAAAATGTTGACATTGCTTAGATTTTTGCTCAATCCTTTGAGCATCCTTCTGTATAACCATATTTCTGTTGACTCAAGTCTCGACATACACATTCATTAATATATATATATATAAGCAAGCATAAATAAATACATAGACATGTCTAAATTTCTGAATATATTTTCTCATATATGACAGTCATATTTTCTCATATATGACAGTATACACACATCTAGAGGTGTATGTAATATCTATCTATCATTTTAGCCAGCTGATATCTATCTATCTATCTGAGTTTGTCTATATTTCTGAGATGAGGTATTATGTACAGTATTTACATTAGTCGGACTATTGTCCTCATCTTTGTCGCCATATTTGTCACAACGTTTCGGCCGTTGTACGCTCCGGCCTTCTTCAAGTGGTTGGAATTTCGAACTGAACCCTTTATTTCGATCACTGGGGTAGACTGTTCTAATTCCACGTGCCATGTTTGATGGATGTCAGTTATCAGTTATCTCCTGCTAATTTTCCCTCTGAAAGTTCTCCACTGCCTTAACCAGGAATTGAACTCACCTTCTTTGGGTCTGTCACTGGATCTAACCAACGCCTTTATCCATGTGTCGTTGAGGACATCTGGGTATGAACTTCTGAGTATTATAAACCTAATGTTTTCAGCATCATTTTTACCAGTGCTCATATTGCAATTTTTGCTGTTATCATTGTATGTCTTTACCAGAGTTCATATTGCAACTTTGTTATCATTGCTTTTCTCTGGCACTCCTTATTACTGGTTCCCATATTGTATTTATTTCTATGCTTGGTCGGCTCAGGAGATTTTTGTGGCCTAGCATATGTGCTGATTCTTTAAGTTTCCCTGAATTTTCCAATGGTGACCTGTCTATGATCTCAACTAAATGATCCCACAGGTTAAGGCAGTGGAGAACTTTCAGAGGGAAAAATTAGCAGGAGATAAACTGAACATAGAATGGGACATCCATCAAACATGGGACAGTGGAATTAGAACAGTCTACCCCAGCAAAAATTCATAAGTGGCGATCCAAGAGACAAATAAAGGGTTCAGTTCTGGGAAACCCCCAAAAACCACAAGAGGAAGAAGGCAGAGAAAATACGGACGGTCCATATAACATCAGGACAATGGCGTGACAACACTTCGCAGGCAAACGTGAGACCCCCCAGAAGAGGAACATGACTGACAAATATGGCTGCAGAAAGGAATATAAAAGATGAGGACAATAGTCCAAGAACATAATGTAAATAGAAAAAATATCTATCTATCTATCAGATATAGCCAACCTGATATCTATCTATCATTTTAGCATAGAAATAAATACAATTTTTTGTTTTTATTTCTTCAAAAATGTTGACATTGCATTGGGTTTATTAGAGTTTTTTGCTCAATCACTGGATCTATCTAGTTCATTCCTTTATCCAGGCTGATATCTATCTATCTATCAGTCGAAATCATTATAGCCAACTGATATCTATTTACCTATCATGTTAGCCAGCTTTTTTGTTTTTATTGATATCATTATCTTAGATTTCTATCTATATCTATCATTTTATCCAGCTGATATCTATCTATCTATCTATCATTATAGCCAACTGATATCTATTTACCTATCATGTTAGCCAGCTGATATCTATCTATCTATCTATCTATCATTTTAGCCAGCTGATATCTATCTATCTATCTATCATGTTAGCCAGCTGATATCTATCTATCTATCTATCTATCTATCTATCATTTTAGCCAGCTGATATATATATATATATATGTTTTCATATCTTACTCTGTCTTGTTCAGTCTATATGAATTTGCTCATAAGTGTCTATTATGTACACACACACACACATATATATTCTCTCTTGAAAATTTTATTCCTTACCCTCATTTTAGGCCCTTTCCTGTTCTTCATCTTTCTTTATACCTCTCTCTAGATCTTTCATACATTCCCTCTTACTCTCACACATACGCTCTCACTGAAGTTTTGTTTTTTTAAACCCAAAGATATATTTTCTGTTTTCTTTTTTGATTTGTAGGTCTGATGAATTGGATCATGATTATGATTCCAATGTAATAAATTATGACCATGAAATATTAGTGCTTGAGCTTCTATATTCTTGTTCTGTGTTTGACATAGAGCTCTATCTGGATTTTATCCTCTTGGAAATATATATATATATATATTGACCACTAATATTATCTATCTATCTATATATATATATATATATATATATATATGCATGTTTCATCAAAAATGACAGACAAGGTACTACGGTTGAGCTTTTTATTTAATTTTTCTTGTGTTCTGACAAGAGCTTTCTTTTCTGGACAAAGAGTGTATAAAAACTGTCCAAATGTTTTATATTTCCGAGTGCTTTCAGCTATACCTTTAGCCATTATCAAGGATGATTTGATTTTTCAGCTTAATTGAGTGTGTGCATTATGTATATGTCTTAGTGTGTAGTAGGGATGTTTTAATTTCCAAATACAGTTGGCACATTGTGGCTTTGTTTGTAGTTAATGTTGTTAAGATTTGGCCTTTTCTATTTTATTATTAAAGCTGGCATTATTTTTAATCTTTTTTTACAGGTGGATGCAGTTAATATATTTGTGTTTTCTACTAGTATATTTCTAATGGAGTCTGGAAAGTTTGCGCGTGTGTTTAAATGGGTTCTAATGGAGCTGTGATCAGATAGGTGTAACGTAAGGCGTCTGCATAAGCATGTAGTTGTGTAACTGATGTAATTATTTCTGAGTCCGATTTGATCAGGAACACAGTTCCTTAAGGGGCATTTGAACTCATAGATAATGTTCGTTCTTTGTCATTTTGACTTAGATGGTGTGTTGTTATTTTTGAGGATAAGGTTAGCTGTCTTAAATTTTTTATAATAGATAATTAATTTGATTATATATATAATGGCTGATTAATCATATCTGAGCACAACCATCAGTGCAGCAAGCAAATGTCTAGTACAGATGCCAGCTCAACTCAAACAGCCCACCTGTGTTTTATATGGAAACAATGCTGGGAGGACTTAGTTTTTTGAGGGAGAGAGAGAAAGCGAGCATAATCTGATTTTTGAACAAGGCCAGCATTCTCAAACTCTTGGTCATGATGACTTGTGACTTTGTGCTACTGCAGCCATCAATGGCATCCAAAAATCACATGCGAGGATTGGGTTAACCTGTGGTGCATGGTTTTAAGGCAATATCCAAGGCTACCATGTGCTGGGATCACCTCTTTAGGCTGATAAAATCAAATCACTTCTCTGACAAATTGAACATGGTGAGATTTGAACGTTGCTCTCTTGTCCATAAAGCAAATGTTCTATACACTCATCCATATGCACAGACACACACGCACATATATATATATATATATATATATATATATATATATATATATTATAAATGTGTGTGCGTGTAAAATTTCAGATATAACTAAAAATATATCTGTAAAAGACAATATGATATATATATATATATATATATATATAAATATATATATATAGGTTGATATTGAAGTCAACACTCATCTGTGACAGTCTGTTCCATGCTAAATGCAATCATCAGGCCATGTGCTGATATTGAGCATTTGAACCCCTGAATATAGCATCCCTTTAAACTATATATATATATATATATATATATATATATAAATAAATAGATAGATACAGATATATATATACATATGTATATCTATATTGTGTTAATAAAATAGTGCTTGTTGTAAAATTACAGAGCTATAAATTATATATTAATAATAAGTGTACATTTTTTCTCACATGTAACATGATTCTGAGTTTTATGTAGAATGTAATCTTCAGGTGTTGAATTTTTTTTTATGTAAGAAAAGGAAAACAGGGATTAAAAATAGGATATATTTATATTATTAATATATAATTCTATATATATAATATAGATCTAAATTTTGGGATGAATAAAAAGAAACCTCTCATAAATATATATATATATTTGAACAAGCATATCTTAAATATAGAATTACCAACATAAGTATATTAAGTTGTAGCACCCTCTTATATACACACACTGACACACATATATTTGCGAAAAGATAAATAGTCTCATTTACAATCTGAAAAACCACACACGTCAATTTTGAAAATAATGCATAAACATTGCAGATATATTTAAAGGTTCATAAAGAAAAAATGTAAACTTTTAAGCTTTTGGACATGTAATATATATATATATATATATATATATACACACACACACAAATATATATATATATATATATATATATATATATATATACACACACACACACAAAATATATATATATATATATATATATATATACACACACACACAAATAATATATATATATATATATATATATACACACACACACAAATATATATATATATATATATATATATATATATATATATATATATATATATATATATATTACATGT